TTCCCTTCTTTCCTTTCCTTTCCTCCCTCCTCTCCCTCCCCCAACCCTCAGTAGACCTTAATCTGTTTTTTTTCTCGGCATTCTTGAGCCTCAGTTTCAAGGGGGTGGAACAGCCCTGTGGCTGTGGTTAAGGATAGATTTCCTGAGAACTTTTCCCAATGAATTTTCGGAATAAGTTGCTAAAGTTTTCATAGGTGAAGCAATCTTTAGTTGAAGACTTGCAGTGGGTGTAAATTGGCATTTGGTCTCTGGCTGTCAGTAAATTTGCACTGCAGGAGGGTCTGCCTCTCCATTTCTTTGTGGGGTTTTTCGTTAATTAGCCATTTGAATTAATAGTAAAAAATATTGAAAGCCTGTAAAAACACATATTAAGCCGTGTCCCACAGGAGGCAATTCTAGGTCGAAAATTGCTGATATTTTTATTTATTTTATTGTACAGTAGAATAGACAGTTTGCTTATTAAATTTATGGACTGTAATTGCTGCTTTAAAAACAATAATGTATGCTCAGCTTAGTAGGTGACTGTCTTCATTTTCAAGGTAAAGTTTTATACGAAAGCTGGGGGTTGTGGGCAAGTGGGAAACCACCTGAAAATAACCTCACAACAAGGGGAGCACTACCTCTACATGTAGGTCATCTTTACATCCCATCATTTCACTACTGTGAAATTATCTCCCCTTATATCTGAGAAATGGCTATACTTATGTTATTTGCTTTAAAGCTTCTCTCTCTGCTCACGCATCTAGAAAACCCCAGTTCTTGTCTCATTTCTGAGATCTCTCACTTATATTTTTCCTGCCATTCAATTTCCTATTAATCTGAGTCAATTTAGCAAATGTGAAAATGAGGACCAGATAGCACATAATTTGATTACTCATTTTCTCTTAAACATTTATCCATATTACTGAAAACTAATTCTCATCCAGCACTACCATTTTTAGCCTGCAAAATCCTAAACAGACTCTGAAGTTATAAGACTGGTTCAGATGGGATCATGCTTCACTGTAGTCAGTGGTGATGAACAGATGATTTCAGGGAGAGGTTCATGTGAAGATATCTGCTCCTCTCTATTGCCATCAAGTTGTCTCTCAGCAGCTATGAAGGGAGCCCACTGCAATTATTTCAGATGGAGACATCTAAAATAAAAATCTGTGTTCCTTCAGAATCTCACCTCTTCTTTCTAAATAATGCAACCCTTTGCTAATTCATATTTATATGGAAGAGAATAGATTATTTATTGCCCTTTTATGTTTTTTTGGCACTGGGTGTGATTCCTGGGTTTGCTGGTGTACCATTTCCATGAGATAGTGTGTCTTTTGCAGGATGCAGTTGGCTGTGGAGTGTCTTATCTGCATCCCAAGCTGCAGGTGAGGAAGGGTTGGCAGAGCCTGGCTGTGTGATTTACAGTGGATTTCTACCCAGTTGCAATGGTCAGCTTTGGCATTAGAGATGATGAGGAATGTGGCTCCTGAGAGCTGATGGGTGGCAAGCAGTGCCTTGGTAGCAGTGTGGGAGGGGTGTAAAATGGCCTAGAGCATGCAGAAGCACACAGTCATTCCGTGAAAACCATCACCCTGTATTTATTGACTTCTCTTTTAGGGAATACTGTTTACTTCCCCTCCCATTTGGAGTTCCTGGTTACTTTCTGCCTTCAACCCTTCCTACAGCTCACTCAAAAGAGTCCAACATCTCAAATGATCTCCATCCTTTGTGCAGCAGCAGGTTTACATGAATATGAGAAACTGAGAATATGAGAAAAACAACACAACACTGCCAAACTAAGTTTGTATTGTTAAGTGTATGGTTTTTTCAGGTGTAAAAATCAGAAATTAATGAATTTTCAAGAGTAGCTAATATATATTTTTTCAATAAAATCATAAAATAAGCAAATCATGTATGGTATATGTTTCTGTACGTTATAGACAATTTTTTCCCATGTTCCATATAGATTTTAAATGTGTCATAACATCACAATAATAATTTTATAAAATCAATATACTGATTAGTATTATGTTAATGTGTTTATAAAAAATATAAGTTTTTATAAAAGCTGAAAAATAGTGGCAAAATTTTTATGCTCCTCTGCCTGGAAAAATAATTGCATTAAGCTGGATAAATAATGAAAGGATGAAATACCCTGTATCATCATCATTTTGCTGTAGTCATGTTTCATTAATCAAATTCATCAGTCTTCCAATTTTCTTTAAAACTGTTGTGACATTTTCAAGGATATTAAAATACAGGAGAGGGATCAAGAAAGCAGGGTGAGTGTGTCAGTAAGAGATCTGGATCTCACCATTGTAGGCTTTTTTTGATTTTGGTAGTCTGTGTAAGCTGATCTTTGGAAACTGGCTGAGGCACCCAAGCAAAATTGGCACTGTTCAGTGGTAGCAAAATCAGTGTCTGCTCTGCACGTGTTAAGTGCTGTCTAAGCCATCTACTGTGAAATCAAGTCCAAGGCATCTCACATGTGGCAGCCCAGGTCACCAGCTGTTTGGTTATAAATGGGAAAATGATCCTTCCCAGGTCCTGGATAATAGTTCTCCAATAGTTCTCTTCTTGGGCTTGAGTTTTCTCCTGGACCTGTGAATTCTGCACAGAAGTCATTTCTCATGGCCAAATCCCTGAAGGAAGGCAGCCTCACCTCCTGCCTTGTCCTGCTCCCCTGCACACTGTGGGCTCACTGTGCCCCAGGATCCTCCTCTGGCAATGGGAAAAGGCAGGAATCTTATGATTTGAGCAGAGTCTGAGGGGGAAGATGGGCCCTGCCAGGCTGTGGACCTGCATCGCTGCTGCTAGAGGTGAAGTGATCAAGGGTGGTGGTTTAGGGCCAGCAAAGGAGAAATGGGAGGGAATCCTGCTCCTTTTGTAGCCATTTCCCAGCCAGGTCCCAGTCATTTCCTTCTGACTCCTTCTGCTCCTTTCCATCCATCTGCTGCCAAGGGCAGGTCTGAGTGTCCTCAGCTGCCACTGTGTGACCCTGCCTAAACAAACACACCTGGTTTGCCAGATGTGATTGCACAGTCCTTGTGGGAGAAAACACATCTCCTCTGGACTTTGACATCCCTTTGGAGAAGTAAAACGAAAGTTCTGGTTTAAAAAGGAAAACGGGTTATGCTTTCATCACGTGCTGTGCTCTTTCAGTGCCTTTCACTAAAAGGATCGTCCAACTTCCCATCATCTTAATTTTCATATATTGCCACCTGTACAGACGGCTGACATGTGTAAGAGGAATGCAGAGTCAAGAATGGGAAAAGCAGCATCGCCCTTTAGTGGGACAGAAACAGATGGAGCAGAAAAGGGATTGGAAGAGAAACTTGGAAGAGGGAAATTCTTTATCTTCTGTTAGTTCAAGGTTTGGCACCTCATCTTGCTTTAACATCCTGAGGATCAAGATATTTCTCTGAAATGTATTCTCTCTGCTTTGCCTATTGACCTGAGTGAAAGCTTCTGGCAGATGCTGCAAGACCAGCCAAGGGCCCTCTGAAGCATTGGTTAACTCTGTGTTAGGGGAATAGCAGCTCCAGGGTTTTGAATTCCCCTCTCTCTGCATCGTGACATCCTCAAAGATGGTGCCCTCAGGCTCAGTGTCACCTTTTCACCTTTCTAATTTTCCCCAGCGGCACTTAGCCCTGAGAATCACTGTGGGCGTCCCAGCATATCTGACTTTGGTTAAGCTTGCTGCAAAAGCAAAGCATACAGGGTTTTTGAGATGAAAAAGGCTGTTGAAAAGAAGGATATTAAAACCATAAATTACCTAATTTGTTGAGATTCCCAGGAATCCTATTCAGCAGAAGGTTTTGGGAGTCACAGGCCTTGAGTTTGCTTACTCTTGTTCCAGGCCACATCCCTTATATTTCTTGGTCTAGTCTGAACTTCCTTGCCAAATAGCAAGAGGTAAAATGGTTATGGCAGTTACTCTCAGAAGATAAACATTCCCATGGCCAAATATCTGCATAGCCAGAAGCAGAAATCAATATTAAGCTTCTACAGTAGGGAGCACACAGGTGTTCCCAAAGCCCTTCAGTGGTGGTGGATGCACCTATGGCCACAGGATCTGCTGCATGTCAGCTGCTGAGCTCCCAGAGGATCTCCTCGTGGAACTGTGAGCAGGTCAGTAAGTGCTGTGCCACTGCCTGGGTGGAAGCTATTGTTCCAGTGGTGTTTGTCAATGG